TATATATATATATTCTTAACGGGTTAACGGATTATCCGTTAAGAAAATTGAATAATCCGTCCCAAATCGATAAGCCGTTAATAAAAAAAATTCAATCAGTTCCCCGTCCGTTAAACCGTTAAACCGATACTAATAAGCCATTAAGCTTTGATTTCGGTTCGGTTTTTGATTTCGGTTTGGTTTTGAACACCCCTAATCATAAATAATCACTTACAATTCCTAGACTTGGGTAACAACGACTTGCTATATACTATTTTGTAGTCCATTGCGGCAATAAATTTCTTCAACCCGATATCGTCAATTTTGTATTTATTTTCAAGTGCAATCCACAGTTCTTTTGACATCTCCATATTACTGTAGATGTTATACAGATCGTCCTCCAATCCGCTAAGAATATAGTTCTTGCACAAAAAATCAAATTGCTTCCACGCCTCAGTCATGAGAAAGCATTCATTTTCTGAAGTTTCGTCGGGCAGAACATGAACATCTTCCATAATGAACTTCTCTAGACCTAAATTCGTCAAGTAGAAGAATATCTTCTGCTTTCACCGCTTGAAATCAATCCTGAAAAGTTTTTTGAGCTTTTCTGCCGGTGCTGGTGCCAATGCCGGTGTTGTTCATCTTGTCGATGCATTGGCAGTCACCATAGGAACATGATGGTTTCTGTTCTCAATCGTCATTTCTGCAAAAGAATCACACAAACAAATATTTAATATACGGTGAAGTTTTTATATCTTCAAACCGAATAAACTAGAGTAGAAAATCACGTAGATTTTAATAAGTATAAAATCACTAAGATTTTAATCTCCAAATAACAGATAATAAAACAAAACAGAATATACGTTAAGATAAAAAAAATGGAGTAGAAAACTACGAAGGCTTTAATCTCCAAACTGGGAATAGAAAACCAAGTTTTAGTCTCTAGAACAGTATATATAAAACAAATACAGAATATAATTAAGTTCCTTAAGCTTGTTAGTATAATGTATTTGCAAAGTAATTCTGAAAATAAAATAACGTAAAAACAGAAATGTAGACGAAATAGAATTTAATTTGAGCTCATTGAATTCATAGTATTTTCTTAAGGAACTTAATCCCCTCCTAGTACTCGAGGTTGTGGATTATTTTTTCTCAGGATAGAATGGATTACACACTGGTGTAGCGGTACTTCAAACCCTAGTGTTTTAGCGAATACAATGATCAGTAGCAAATCACACTTATTGTTGCTTTCTTTGTAGTTAAAACAATGCAGAAGAAAGAAGATGATTTCAGAATTTCATATGAAAAATTTGTGGGAATGGTCTGCTATTTATCGCCAACATGTTGGATTTAAACGAAGAGGTGTAACTCTTCAGGTTGGCTGTTATGACTGTTCGCGTTAAACTGGCCATTACGTAAATGGTTATTTACGCAAAATAAAACGGAAAAATCAAACGTGGAGGAAAATTAATTTACCGTTACAAAAATGGCTAATTTAGATTACAATAATTTTGCTTTAATCTTAATATTAACAAATAAATTTGGTCCAAAAATTTAATCAATCAATCATTTGAGTGAAGCCGAAGTCGCGCGAGCGACGATGACGATGCGAGGCTTGCCTTCTTCTTAACTGTTTAAGAGCTAGAAGAAGAACAATTGTATATATACCCATCAAAACTCTTTTTCTCCTCCAATATGGGACAATGTCCCTTTGTCAAAGAGGAAAATTCAAATATTTTATTTTTCTCTCCATTTCCCATTCACTATTTATTTTAAATTCTTAACAAGCTTACACCCAACAAGTGATTCACATATATAATTTAATTTGAACACATCATTAATGGACGAAAAATATTTGTGAGAATTGAGAATTAGCTTCCTATTACCTCAACTGTAGTAGTTAGGTATAATTTAGACTTTAGTTCAGTGATCCAAATTTCATCTCAAATACATTTTGCATTTAATCTTGTTTATGTTAATCGGGATCACATTGACATGTGAATCTTTATTTGCGGCAATTAAGAAAAAATGCATAAATATCCCCTAACCTATAGTCGGATTTTTAATTATATATTTTATTTTTGCTAGGTGCTATTACCCCCTGAACCTTTTCAAAATGAAATAGACACACCCAAAAACTGAACAACCAGATTTTTGATGGGGAGTATTATGCACGCACTGTCAACTAATAATTTTTTTTCCTTATTATATTCCAGTTTCATGTACATGGACGCCGACGAATGTGAAATTATTTTCCGATTTTAGAGCCGGAGAATGTGAACTAGTAAATAGAAATCGTAGTCCGAGCCAGAGCAGTACCGTTGAGTCGTCGCCGGCGATAATGGTGGAGAACTCGCCGCTGGCGGTGACGTTGGACTCATCATCGTTGGATCTCAGCATTGGTGGATCCGATAGCTTACTTATTAACGGTGTGGGTAGGTTTTTGTCCTAGAACCATCTGTTTCACGGTTCTCCGGTCGTCGGCCGGAGGAATCGACAGAGGTGTGACACCGGTGAAACATATGTACTATTTGGAAGCTCTGCAACGATCGGGAGTGATTTCTTTATATAAAAAAAGTTGCCAGAAAACGGTGGAGTTTATTGTCGATGTTGGTGAAGGTGGCTTCGGCGAGTCGAGTTCGTCGTCGGTGAAAAAGGAAAAAGGGACTTGATTTTTTTGTATAAAAAAAAAAGAATAAAAAAAACTATTAGTCTAAGTTATAGTGATAGCTAATTATGTCTAAAAAAATGATATCATTTTCAATTAAAAGTTGCCACTTGTATAAACTAATTAGTTTTAAACCTAAATTTTACCTCTCACATGCTTTCAAGAGAGATAACACACTCTCTTTGCCACGTCATCATTTAAAGGTGTGTTTATTTCATTTTAAAAAGGTTCATGAGGTAATAGGACCCCGCAAAAATAAAGGGTGTAATTGAAAATATGGTTATAGGTCGGGATTACTATGCATTTTTCCTAACAAATAATGTATAGAGTTCTATTATTTCTAATAAGTGGTCAAGTTGGAAATCTCTTGAACTGAAAATTGCAGCTATTACAGTAAATTCTAGCCACGCTAACACATTCTTCCTTTTATTTTCACTTTACCCAGCAGCAAATTTAATACCCAGCAGCAAATTTAATATATACATAAAAAAAAAAGTTAATCTTATATAATTTTTCGACAAAGACGAACACCTTCCAACCCCTAGTTCGGTCCCTGATTGTACAAATCCGATGTACTAATTATATACTATTGACTAAAGAGACTGGAGACTATTATATGCATGTACCAACTCAAAATTCACTTAATGAATGTTATACCTTTTCATCCACGCACTACCTTACATACTTTCATCTAAGTATGATAACTATAAAAAAAATTAATTAAAAGAAAAAGTTATATTGATAATTATCACTTAGATCATCATGTTGGAATAAATGGCACTTAGATTTTAATATAAGATTAATACACATCTTATACAATGTCAAAGAGTATAGTGAAATTGCACTTTTATCTCCTTAAATAGTGATACAATAAGTAGTATTAAGTATTCATCGTGTACTTCTCAACCGCTCATGACCTAAATTGGGGGTTCATATTGTCTTCAAGAAAAAGAAAAAAAATATCATTCTAGATGACTATAGATGTATTGATTATATGAAAAAGAAATAACTGCACTTTGTATTTTTCTTATAAAAAAAATAGGATGAGTTATCCGTTATTTGTTCAGGTGGAAGGTAATAGATATATAATGGAATTGGTTGAATTGTGTGCAGACTCGGATACCACAATTATTAAAAATAAAAATAGGAGGAGATAAAAAGTGACAGAAATTCAAATCTATTGCATCTCCTAGAAATCTCTGCCATATTTGCTTCTCAAATCCCATAATAGTAATTGAAGCATAAATACTAAAGTTTGAATATTATTAGCAATTTGAAAATAAGTAGGAATTTTTTTTGTTAAAATAAGATGCAAGTATGCCGTATATCTGAAGTACAAGAGTAAATTTCCTTTTTCCCCCCAATATCTTAGTCTTAGTGATAATTATTACTATCATGCGAAAAAAGGTTTAGAACGAAAAAGGTCAAATATATAAAGCATAAAATAGCCAAAATGACGACTTGAGATTTTTTTTAATTGAATATATATTGTAAGTTGTTATAACTCTTATATCACGGGCACATTTTTGTACTTTGGTGCATGAATGTCAAGATTTTATTCTTAAAAAAAGTGCTCTTATTATCTTGTCTCTACCTTTATAAGATGTGCCAGCAGTGACATCACAAATAAGTATAGTACTAATTTTCAAATGAAATCTCATAAAAGTTTGCTGTCTTTTTATCCAAAAAGTCTTATAGGTAAGCTTACTTTGTTGAACTAAATATAGTGTCGGCAAAAGTTTAGATTTGCACAATCCGGAAAATAGTTATGTGCTTTCTTAGTATAGTCTTGCATAGTGCTCTACATCGGGACATTTTAGTACACAATCAAGTCAACAACAATGCATTATAATCCCACAAGTGAAATCTGGAGAGTATAGTGTGTACGCAGACTTTATCCCTACTCTGTGGTAGAGAGGTTGTTTCCGATAGACCCTCGGCTCTCTCCCTCCAAAAACTCCCCACCTTACTCTTGGGGTGACTCGAACTCACAACCTCTTGGTTGGAAGTGGAGGGTGCTTACCACTAGAGCAAACCACTCTTATTGACCTAAACCTCATTTCGTTTTACCCTAATTTGGCATACGGAATAAATTATCCTTGGATTATAGTCCTGAAATTATAATACCTAGATTAATTTATCCCACCTGGAAGGAATAAATTTATACCGTCTGTTATTCAATCTGTATTACTATAATAAATAATAAAAAACAGTAAACTTTCTGAAATGAAAACATAAACAGAAAGTTAGTTGCAACAGAATGTCAAAATAATGTCTGAAAATAATTTCGGAATAAATCGAGCCCGCTGAATGCACAGTGTGTCCTTAAGGAAATTATTCACCTCAAGTACCCAAGGTACTGGAATATTATCCTCCCAGGATAGAACTATTTTTACTCACTAGTGTATTGGTACCAAAAATTATGATGAATTTCGAACCACTCCATGGTTGTAATTCAAAACATATTTATAGACTTTCTGGCACTATTCTTGAAAAGGTTTGCAACCTTTCAGAAACAGCCATGGCTGTAGTGGGAATATTTCTGTTTGAAATATTGTGGAAAAACAGATTTAAAATAATTAGGGAAAGAAAACAGATCGAACCGGGTCGCGAGTCCTGGTTTACTCTGGGTTGAATTTTTGTTATTTAATTAATTATAATTAATTGAAGCCAAAGTCGAGCGATGATGACGACGTGAGGCTTACTTTCTTTCCAACCCATTTTAACACCAAGAGAAGTGCTTTCTCAATATAAACACATTCATTTTTTTTCCACCACCAATGAGGGACACTTTGCTCTTTCTAAAGCAAAAGGGAGCTCACTTTCCCTCCACTTTCTTCCTTCCATTTCCCATTCACCAATCTTTAATCCCAACACCGTCAACCAAATATAGTATAAATTTAGTACGATATTTTATCCCACCTTATCCCATCCCGCGTACCAAACGATCCTTTAATGTTAGGATTCTACTACAGTCAAACCTCTATATAATAACTTTGTTTGTTTCGGATATTTATTGACTGCTATTTGGCCATTAATATAAGCGTTATTATAGGATAACTGTTATAGAAAAGTCAAATTGTACTTTATTTTTTATTTTTTTATAACGACAATGTAGAGATTAGTTTTTGTGCATGATGACTATTTCATTGAGCATCAATTATCTCATATCAAAGACAAGTTCCAACAAACTTTGCTTAGTGATGTTCAAACAGATGTTAAGAAATCACCCAACTATTTTTAATACGCCTCTGCTGAAATTTAAATCATGTTTTTTAATTTCATGATTTTTGTCCAACTTCTTTGGCCGCTAGGCGACACCATTGTATGCACAACTATAGTATTACTGGGGAAAACACTTCATAAAATTACAAATAAATTATTTTTCCTTTTCTACGCATCATATAAAATAAATTCTAGCTATCCTATAAGTTTTCTCTCTCGTTCGACCTATTCTCTAATTTGAGAGCAAATTTTATATATCCCTTATTTCTCCATTAAGCAAATTTATGTTAATGACAATGTTAAAATTAAGCACTTATGACAACGTTAAATTAAGCGCGTCGGAAGTTCTTTTTTATACCACCATATGATAAATTAAAAGGATCAATATCACCCCCTAAAATTTAGATATTTTTCAAAAAGATTACTCTTTAATTTAGAAATAATTGGGTATGTTTTGCGGCCTTCACTCACCCTAGTTCCTAGACGAACCTTTTCCCCCTATCCCTACAAGCCATTGACTAAAGAAGAACCTCTAAATTAACAGAAAGGTACACTTTTGGTGAAAATAATTACATTATTTTATTAAGTGTTTAGTGAAAATCAATATGGAAAATTTAAGAAACTAATCCATTATTGTTTACTGACTTGATAGTACTGATTAACAAGGTCCATTTTCTTCCGGTCAATTAGTTTGATTAGCTATAAGCAGCCGCTAAGACACCTTGTATCAGGTAAATATTTATTCTGTTTATACCAAATCAATATATATAACTTAGTAATTAAAAATTAAAGTAAGAATCTATATCTTAAACGACACACATNATCCTTTAAAATTATTTTTAAATTGGACAAAATTTTTAATCTAATATTTTAAGACTTTAGAACCAATTAAAAGTTTACCTTATAAGAATCATTTCTTTATTTAAACTATGTAACATAGCTATCATACTAATTTGTGAACTTTAAAAGGGTAGCATTCTCGTCCATGTCCTTGAAGTATTTATTATTTTCTTATAAGGTTTTCTACATCAGCCTTTTGTCATTGTATTTAGGGAAAATTTCACATAAGAACAACTGAGCTCCCTGCTTTTCAATTTTATAACCTATATTTTAATTTACAACCAACTAGCCCAAAAAATAATAGGCTAAGATTCAACATCCAACTCCAATAGGTTCTAGAAATTATTATTTAATTTTTAAAAAAGATTACTCAACCTTTTAAGTTAATTTTCGAACCAGTAACTGTGACTTAAATATTAGTTCAATAAAACAAATCCATTTGGATGGTGAAAATTAAATTTTTAACAAGGTTAAATATGTGGGTTTAAATTTCGAATTTGATTTTGTGAGAAATTTGGAGTGAGTGTTATTTAGACTTGTTAAAAATAGTATAAGGAGGTTGTATATAAAATTTGAAGTCATTTAATAGAGATTTGTACTAGTTTTAAACAAGAATTACAACTGAAAACCGTGGAAGAAGTTCATCTACAGACGCTTGTATAAATGTGTATAATAGTGTATAAGATGTATTTATACACTCATATACACTATTACACAATATTATATAAAAAACTGAATTCGTCTTCTTCCTTGCGTCTTTTCTAAAATTTAATTCAAATCTTGCTCAAATCTTCTCCAAATCACTTTAAATTTAAATTTTGAACTCCTTTTGATATTTTTAATCAATTGGAATAACACCCAATCCAAACAACTAAAAAACTCAAAAAATCCTATTTTCGAAAGCAAAGCTTTGAATGGCCTTCAATGGTGAACTTCTAC